GTTTTCGAACTGGCTGCCGAGATAGGTAGATCTTCCACTCAGCCATCGATATACAAATGTTAAGTTTGTTTGTTCGGCGGACAAAAACTAAAAAAGTTCTGCATCATTTTTTTTTAATTTGGACATCTGCTGCAGACTTTCCAAGGTTGGTTATACTTAGGCGTGGTACCTTCCAAACATACACAAACTTTTACCTATTTCATACACTCAGCGATTAAGGTGAGGGCAAACTATACATAAGTTCATGGTTTTATTTAAATTTACTTACTTTTTCGATCGAAACCAAATGTATTGTTGGTGCTTGAATAACAATTCTCAGCTTCGTGTTTTCCGGGATTTGTCCAAATCATTGGTAAACCGAATGGTAACGAAAATCGTTTTTTTTTTGTCCACCAAAAATTCATCGCACTAATGCAAGAAATACATGTGAATTCGGGGAGTGTATTTATTTTGTGCAGGTTCAGATTGCAAAAAGTACCATTTATAGCATGCTAGTGCATGTTTATTTGAGACTAATTTACGCTGGTCTGATTTCAAAACGAATTTACCACAAACGAAACAAAACTTGTTTAATTTATTGCAAAGCTTTTTAATTTTTTTCATCTTTAGGAGTTTCCGAAGACAATGATATGATGAATAAAAGTTTTTCGCAAAATTTTCGATGTTTCTTATCAATTAATATGACAGTAATCGAGCGCGTAGATTTTCGGTTTGTGTTTTTTGGTTCCCAACTTATGTGAAATAGATGCGGTATAGACCGCTGCCTATTTGAAAGCATTACTCAGTCACTTTAACTTTAACGAACAACAGCTTTCACAGTACAAAAAAGGTATTAAAAAGCCATTCGTACAACAGAAACTGCAAAAATATGCCAGAGTGGGATTGAAAAGAACCCAAATTCAGGTCCAAGCAGTGTATAAACTGCTATTATAAAAAAACATTACGAAATAAAATATGAGTTGTAACGCAACCCCACATATCTCAACAATCAGTTGTATGGGAGCTATAAGTTATAGTGAACCGATTTCCATGATTTTCAGAAATAGCTAAGGTAATATCAAAATAGAGTCACGTGCAAAATTTTAGTAAAATAACTTTAAAACAGAGGTAATTATTAACAAAAAACCTAAAATGTTAGCAGATTTTCAAGCACCGTTATCTCGAAAACTAGAGCCAATCTGGAAAAACGGAGGACGCCATTGAATTTAAAAGATCCCAGTTAAGTAAGATCAGTTATCAAAACCTTTGCCCAGAAAAAAATTCAAAGCCTGAGCATAGTGTTTTAAGCGACTCATTGTCTTTCTTTCAGAACTCTTAAACTTCCCCCCTAAATATCTCAAAATTTTGACGTGATACGGATTTTCTGAAAACACCATCGTAATCTAGAGGCCAAAATTAAGTTTACGTATTTGGCCGTTTAGCTGTGATATTTTTGCCATACTACTGTGTAATTAGTATGCTTTAGAAATATTTA